TTAAAGCTGCTTTCTTCTACTACATATCATCAGTGCATATCTTTCCTTATTCTCCTCTTGTTTAGCTGGAATGTACATCAGTAGTAAGAATCTGTCTAGTCCTTTTTTTAGTACTGAATATTCATGTACAGAACTATGTTCAGTTTTTCTTGACTGGATGTTCTTCATTAAACTGAGTTGAACAGGAAATGTAGAATGACTAAACTAATCACTGAGAGGCCTTAGTATTATAATCCAAGCAGCAAGCTGTCTGTTTGAGATGGAAAACCTGGTAATGAATGCACAGAGGGGGAGGTAGACAATGGCTGAACTAAAGGGCTGGTTCTGTGAAATGGAAATAGGAAGAAAGATAGGAGCTTTTGAAAAGGCCAACCTGCAGGAAACCCATGTGATGATCATTTCTATCTGGCCGACGCATCATCAGGAAGGATGTGCAGCCAAGCATGTCATTTTTTATAAAGGGCAAATATGGTTTAGAGCTTAAAAATGTAGAAATTTTGAAAGTATGAAACGTAAACTGATCACAAATACCCACAAAAGAGCGTTTTTAACATTAAACAAATATTCTAATATATAGATAAAACTTTGGTTTGTGTAAAAACATAAAATTACAGAGATAATGTGATTTTAAACAATTTTGAAAAAAAATGAAGTCTGCATTTAGATCCCACTCTAACCTTAGATCCCATTAGGCAAAAAGTAAAATCAAATAGGTTCAAGGAAATAGATGAATATTATCAATAATTTCTTAATTGTTGAGATTATTGTCAGAGAGTCAGTGTAAAATTACATAAAATTAACAAAACTAAAGATAAAATAGAGAACAGAGTAAAGAATAAAAAACAGAGTAAAGAGGTGCAGTGTCTGCCAAGCCTGCATTTCTTCACTCATTTTAACTCAACAGGACATAATCTCAAATTTTGCTGTTCTCTGAAGCTTTTACAGAGACTTAAAAAATATTATCTTCCTTGTTTAAAAGTAGGGGGGGGGGGGGAGGATGGACCCTAAAGTAAAATTGTGTTTCAGTCTATATTTTTAGCTTGAAACCTTTTTTGTTCCTGTGGTTTCTTTTATTAATATTTCGCTTTGGCTCCTTCAGTGAGCCACACATACTTAAAAGTCTAATGATGAACTCTGGTACTGGCTCTGTAAATCTGATTTCAGTTCACTTTAGAGAATAATGACCTGCAGTTGGAGCTGCTAACATCCACCTCATTTTAAGTAATCCTCACCTTTTTACATACCCATATGGAAAAGAAAATAATTAAGGAACTGTAAGGCCAGGTTACATGTGTGATACATCGTTTGAAAGCCAACACATTCTTATTTCTGAAAATATAACGTATTCTCATTTGTGACACAGTCTAAACTGCATCAGTTATTTTTTAAAATAATAGGTATTTTTTGAATAGCAGTAAGAAAGACATGCTTGATAGCAGGCATGTGTCATCATATTCTGCATCATATCAACCACAACTGCAAAAAACGTCAGACCTCTAGAAATAACAGTGTCAGACCTATGGGAATTTTTCACTTCTGGTGTCACCAGCGTCTCCAAAGCGCACCAAATGTCCCAAATTAACCCAATTGTGCAAATTGCTTTTCACAACAAATTAATGCTTACAATCACACTGGAGCATTTTGATGACCTCAAATCATTTTTGAAGCATACATTTTTCCATTTTCCATCTAATGCTCTAATGTTGCACAACGATCTAGTATCTGCTGCTGGCTGAAGACACTCTGAGCCATTAGGAAAACAAATGTATCAGGTCTGCATTATTCAAATTAGCCATGCTTACCCTTGTTTTAAAGCTAATTTCATTGGCTAAACCCAAACATTGCGTGTGGTTTTAACCCTTGTCAACCCGGACTGTATGAGGCATAATTTGACGGGAAGCATGAATAAGGTACGGAGATAAGGAGCACTCAGGTTTTATGTTTTAGGAGCTGTCTTGGAGTCAAATCTAAACAAAAATCAATGGGGACACTTTTGTTTACGGGCTGGAAAGTGCTGAAAACAAACATACCAAATATCCACCAGAATTGTTTGGGGAAGCTAATGTTATAAGAAAGATGACTAGTATTAGCCCTGAGGAACTCTTTTGACTCTATGTGGCCATTTTCTCATCATAGAATGTTTTTATAACACATATACCGGATTACTTTTTATCTATGGACCCTTACAGAGAAATGGAAAATAAATAATCTAAGATTGGACTTATAATACGGCATCAGGACCTCTTCGAAGGTAAGGAGCACAACTTTATTTGAAAAATTATGATTTAACATCGTGCTACATCTTTATTATTTGTGCTTTACTGCACGTTGTGTGCATAAAATCAACTTGATGGTTGAATTATGTAGGATCTAAGCTTTCTAACAATATATAAATATTTCTGGTTTGGTAAAAGTTTAGCTGTTGTTAATTTTTCATGCATTCTGTTGTGTTTAATTGGACACCCAATGGGTTGCTGGCGGGCCAGTGGATTTTAGTTTTCCGGGCTTACATAGCAAATACAACAGCAGTGTTACAAATTCATAAATTATCAACTAGCTTAGTAGCATTTAGCAACCAAAAAAGAAACTGAAATAAAATATTCAACCACTGAATGGAAGTTGTTTAGACATAAAAATCATTTATCCCAGATTTAGGAAATGATGAGTGATAACAGTCATCTTCACAGTGTAATAAATAATAAATTTGAAATTAACTGCAATCCTTTGAAACCTTTGTTTAGTTTTTTTTGGAAAAGGATCTAAAAGACAACTTTCTCATGTTTAAATCTCGCTCCCCGACAAGATCAATTCCCACCTCTCAGAAGTTTTGGATAAGATTTCAAAGGACCATCACAGAGACAGAAAGGGAGGCGCTGGGAAATAATTCAAATGCACAGTATTAAGCAGATGGCCCATGTGCATAAAGTTTGCATAATAAACAGGGCTTGCATCCCTGAGTAGCATAGACAGCAAACAGCATTTGTCTCTGTCTTGTATGCCTGTTATTCAGCACTTTTTACAAACACAGTGCTGAATCAGACAAACATTCACATTAAGGACTGTAATTCTCAGAGAACAGACTCATGGAAGCCATTAAAAAAATCTATTGCAATAAATGTATAGGTTATGTTCAGTTACATCAATGTGAAAGAAATGTAGCAAGTCTCAATAAATATTTTTTCCAGTCTAATATCTACTGAATATGCCCTGCGATGGACTGGCGACCTGTCCATCGGGTGTACCCCGCCTCTCGTCCGTAGACAACTAGAGATAGGCACCAACAGTCCTCACGAGCCGCTTGGGATAGCATGACAGAAAATGGATTGATTGACACCTACTGAATAGTGAATAGCTTGCATAGAGGTTATTTATACTAATCAAATGTTTACACCTCATCAAAGTTTACACTGATTATTATTTAGAACAAGCTCTGATTCCATAAAATCAAACAACAAAGGGGGAAATTAACAATACTCAAGGATATATTTTTTATGGTTGGGAAAAAATATCAACACCTATATAAAAGATTATCTAAACCACATATTTTAATCAAAGGTTTACTTCATCTCTTTTTAAGGTTTAAGTGCTTAACTTGGGTTAAACTATTAAATTTAACTTGGGCTTTAAAGGACCAATCTAATAAAAAAAATCATTGCATCTTGCTTTTAGGACTGTATCTTCTGGTCTCACCTCTGATTGACCCAGGTTGGATCTCCTGACCTGCTGTTCTCACTGTCCTGTCCTCCCTGATGGAGGAATCCCTGCACGACAGATGCTTTATAGCCTGAAGGTTGTTCTGTGCTCGATGGGAGTTTTGGCTGACCTAACTGGCCCAGGTCACTGGACGGTCTCCTACTTTGGATTACCCCAAAGCCAAATTAGATATATTAGGGAAAAAACTCCGAAAGAAAGTCACTGAGAAATTTTTAATGCATCAAAAGATGCAGGAATTGTAACACAAAATTTGCTTGTATTTTATAAAAGGGCAAGATGTAAACGCAAAGCATTTTCTTGTCAAAGACAAAAATAAAACTTTGATCCAGATTAAATGAAAGGGAATTAAAAAAAGCCTGTATATATTAAAATATACCCTATGACTGCAGCATTCCTTTGAGTTCCAGTTATGCCTACTTAAAATGTGTGTCTAATCACAAACAAGCTGATCTAAATCAACCCTAAATCAATCAATGGTTTTTCAAAAATACTAAAAGAACAACTCAAACCAGAGCTGAAAATAAGAAAAGGCCTCTATTCCTGAGGGGTATGTAGAGGCCTATCTGAACAGGCCTAACTGTAAAGAGCACAGCAGAAGCCTTTTAAAGGTAATGAGAGATAGAAAACAGATTGGAGTTGTTCATAAACTCTACATCCATTAATAATGACCTTGTTACAATCACAGCAAAGCAATCAACACCGAAAATAAACAAGTAGAAATCAAAAATTTAACTTTGGAATCCTTACTGGAAATTGTGATAAAAATAAATGGTCAGCTCATGTTTTCCATAATAAAAGCCCTTTTATGGAAAGGTGGATTACATAATCAACCAACCAGAGCCCCATTTGTCTCTTATGTTGAGGCAGACCTGCCTGGATTACAACATGAGACTCTGACTATTATGCCCTGTGCACCCACCAACAATTTCTGGTCAAACCTGGACATTTCAGTGGCATTTCTATTGTCCTTTTACACTGAACATTTTCTCTGATAACAGCAGTTTTAAGTGACTATCTTTAAAACATCTGATTCATGTTCAGAAAGTTCATCACTGAATGTACCTTTTTAAGCAGGACTTAAAAAGTATAAGTTAAGATATTTTTTAAGTCTCAAAACATTCCACCTACTAGTGGTGTGGCAGTGAAATCACATCATAGCAATTAAAATGTAATGTAGATGTGTAAACGAAAATGGAAAAACAATCCTAGTTTTAACAGATCATCCAACCAGGAGCCAGGTTTCAAAAAGCAAGAAAGTTAAACTGAGAGAAAAGACTGGTACCAACCTTTAGAGGAGGGACATTTAGTGGCTTATTTTCCTTGTCAAGTGAAATGAAGGTAAAAAAGGCTGAGACAGCGCGATATTTCCCTTTCTCCTTTTCCACCAGCGGATCAGCATCTACCAGTACTTCTATTTCCATAGACCTGTTGCTGACAAAGGTGAGTCGGCCCGTCACTGTCACCACACAGCCTGGGAGTGAAAATGAGAAGGACATTTAATTAACTGTTTTATAGTGTGTGTTGATATTGAGTACTAAAATGTTCAGAAAAAAGTGACATTGTCAACCATGATTTAATTTTAAATCTAATAATCATTCATATCTATCACTATGTATATATATATCACTTTACAGTCTATCTTTTTAGAATAAAATGACAATAATCTGCAAAGCACATAAGAAGGTAACATTTTAAATCATAAAACCTGAGGAGACATTTAATTTAGCCTCGATTTTATCAGTTCAATTGACAATGATCACTGATAAAAAGTGCCTTTCACAGCTTATTTTCTCATTGTATCAATTCAGTTCAGACTTTTTTAAGCATACATTAAAGCATGTTATATAAATATGCAAAATAGAGATGATTTGGACTTCAGGATAGGATTCTGACACTCAATAAACACTTTGAGCAAGAGTTGTTTGTCAAAAAAATACCTAAATAAAGCAGAGAGTAGCAAAACACAAAAAAATGAGATTATTAAATGGTATGAAATAGTAAAGGCACTGAAGAAGACTCCCATGGTAGTAGTATAACTTAGACATGACAGGTTTTGATGAGGAGAACGCAGTGGGGTTAGGACACAGGAGGCAGTTTAGCCATAGATATTTTCCATGGATGCAAAGGGACACACTCACACACACCCCTATTTGTTCTGCTGTATGTAGTAAGGACCATGTGTTGACTCTCATTGACTTCCATTGATTTCCAGTCATTTGTAACTATTTCTATGCCCTAACCCTAAAACTAACCCTATTACCAATGCATACCTCATCCAAACCTTACCCAATTGACACCTTAGCCCTAGATCTAACCACCTTGTGAGGACCAGCAAAATGTCCTCACTTTACAACAACAGGTCCTCATTGTGATGGTGAAATTGGAAAAATGGTCCTCACTCTCATGCCTAGACAGGTACATAAAAATTGTCATGTTTTTTTCTTGTCCAGCATGTTGTAATTTCAATACATGTATTAAGTCTGAGGGGGGTAGAGTGATAGTTCTGACAGCAAAATGTCTGAGATGGTCAGTCTAACAAAGCTGAAGAGGTTTTCTTTTTTATCTAATTGCCTTTGTTGGACCTACTGCTGTAACTAAGCAAGACTGGTTCTGTTTCTTTATTCTCTTTGATGCACCAGCATTGTATTATTACTGCTGTTGCCATGGAGACGAGAAGTGAAGGTGTTATCTCTGCAGCCTGAGGTAGAACCTGGCTAAATATTGTGCTAATAAAACACTGAAAAGTCCATAAAATGTAGTTTTGAAAAAAATATTTTTGATATCTAACCCAAGTAAAAAATGGGAAAAAAAGAGTAATTCTTGGCTAATAAAACAAATGTTGAAGTAAACAAAGATAAATACAGTTGAATGAAAGTATAAAGTTTCTATAAAAATTCACTGCTTTTATAACATCGTATTTTCCTTTTTTATAATCTTTTGATTTTATTCTTTTGCTAATATTGAAAGCAATAACAAATAAAGCATTAGCTGAAGACTGGTAAAACAACATGCATTTAGTGAAGCTTTTAACCCAGCTGCTACATGACCTCGTAATTTTACCAAACCCCCTGTATTGAAGTAAAAAACATATTTGGCACAGTTTGGTGACATTTATGGATAAATGTGCCAAAATGGCCTCTCCGTCTAAGAAACTTCTCACTAATACCATTCTAAAATAAATATGATTCATCTGATTGAGTCCACATTTTGTATATTTTTACACAACATTTAGATTTGAAAGTCTGTACTACTTTTTTGTGCTATAAATAATATTTTGGTGGTGTTTTGCAATGTTTATTTCAAAGAAAATTTTGGCGAGGTTCAAAAAATGCAAAATATTTTGTATTTTGTCCATAATATTTCAGGCAGGGTCAAAGCTACAATGGTGCTGGCACCAGAAAACCATTCTATGACATCTTACCTTTACAGGCGTACCAAAAGTTTCTTCTTAAATCTAATAGCTTTGAGGCTATAAGTTATTTACTTTTGTGTGTTTTTGTCAGGCAGAAATTTATTTATACCCCCTTAGGGTGTAAGAGGTTAAGCACCAGAATAAGCCATTTTAGAGTCTAGAAACATCAGTTTTCAGTTTTATCAGAGGGTTATGTGTATCAGCATGTCCTGATTTGATAGTGATATCTGAAATATGTTAATATCAACCAAAAATCAAGTAGTGGAATGCATTGGTCAGCGTCTAAAATCTCAGATATAAGAAAGGTGGTAGAAGCACTCTGCTGCGTCATTCCACTCCATCATTCAGTCTGCCTCAGCATTTCTATCCAGCAGTAAACATGTCATGCTGCCTGCCATTGGCTGTTGTTTTTTTAGTCTGGCTTGCTGTTTTTCTTCTTCTTAGCTGCTCCACTCTGCTAACTGGGTGAAATTCTTCACCTGCTTGTAACCAGTTAACAAGTCGGTTCACCTGGAACTCCGCCTCCCTCACTCAGTCTCCACCAGATTGTCTCTTTTTTTGCATGAGACTGTTTGCATTTAATGTGTGCGCTGCCTGCCTACCCCACATTCCTGTATTAGCTGTACAGCAGCTGCACTGTGTTCAGTGTGAGCCCAGTGTCAAAAGTCTGTCCAGCTATCATCCAGCTTCTCAAGCATGTCATCAGCCTCTTACCATCAGCCATAATGTGACTACTCATCTATCATCTCTGTAGCATTGAATGAAATTTGTGAAAGACATAATGGAGTTGTGCAGAACTGCAGCACTCTACTGTCTGTTCTTTTTCTGTAAAAATTTAATGTTTGAACAAAATGAACAATCAGGTTCTCTGTCACACTAGTAACAGCCTGCATACTGAAGCAGCCTAAAACCACTTGATCACAACAATCCTCCACATTTGACCCTTCCCCTTGGGGATCAGTGGGCTGCCACTGTGCAGCACCCATGGAGCAGTGTGGGGTCAGGGGTCTTGCTCAGGGACTCAGTTTGGTAGTCTTTGGGAGCTGAAAACAGAACCTCCAGGACCCAAGCTCAATGCTCTAACCACTAGGCCACGACTCTCCTTCTTTTTCTTTTTACTTTTAAAAACACTCCCACTTAGCGCCAAACTTGTCAAATACAAGATATGTCATATTCTGATTTATTATACATTTTTTCATCTGTAAAATATTCTTATGTTTGAGTTTAAATAACAAATTAATAAATAATAAATCGTTCAGTGGTTTTCATACCATAACATAATGGATTGCATGGTACGCTATGCAATAGTAATATGTTTTGAGCTGTTGTTATAAAGCTATTAGAGTTGTACAACCTAGGGCATCCCTGCATTATACAGCCTATTAGTAAAACATTTCTCTGAGTAAAATTGTAATGTAGGATAACATAAAACAACTTTTTTTCTTTTATATAAATAGGTACCATAAGATCGTACTTACAAGTGCACTATAATACCTCAACAAAGTATGCAAAATTCATCACCATATAGCAATAGGTTTCATAAATAGATACATTTATAGGGTTGGACTGATTTTTATAAACAAACCTTTGCTGCAGTTTGAAATTTTGCTAGTAATCTATTATCTGCAGATAGTAAAAATTTGACATGCTGGCTAAAATATTTCTTCTTGATATGTTTCTGACTAAAACATGTTTTTCACGGTGATCTTCAACTTTCTGGTATAGTTCTGGCTGAATATGAAAAACCAAGTTTTACTAAAAATATGAAGCTTGTGTGAATCTAAAATTATGTTTGACTATGATTATGTATGTAGCTATGATTTGGCTTTTGAAAATGAACAATTTAAATTTTTGGGGGGGGGGGGGTTATGCCTTTAACAAACTTATTACAACATGCCATTCTTTTCTGCAATTATTTTTGTTCCATATTTCCTTTGATTGCCATTTATGAATGCTGCTATAAAAATTAACTTGTTTTTTCTTTAATAATTGACCAAAAAACATTTCAGTGCAGCATATTCCATCCAAAATCAAATTGTTTATTTGAAGTAAATCCCAAGAATGTCCTTGTGGAAAGCTTGCAATTTAAAATGAGTTTAAAGATTTTATTTTCAACCAGGCACTTTATTGTGTATCGTTTCTAGATCACGTTGATGTTAAATTTTCTTCACAGTGGACAATGACATTAGCAGCCAATAATTTATCCAGCTTATAAGAGGCTAGAAAATGATTCCTAGGTTCTTCTTGAGACTTTTAAGCAATTTTGTCAGTTTGGTAACACGTAAACAGTAGCAGTTTTGCTCAGATGGTTGCAACTTAGAAAAATGTTATACTCTAGTAACACAGTGATCCCAGTTCAAAGCTGGATCTGAAACTTGTTAAGAATTTTATATAAATTTTTTGAAACGGTTCTGACCATATCGAATTATACTACACATTCACTACATTTTTTTGTTAAATGCAGAAATGGGAACAAGAGTCGGAAAATAATTTAAACACATGTAGGCTGTTCATTGGTTGGTTAATGTTTCAGATCCCTGCTTTATATACTAATAATATTCACATAAATATTTTTCTATCATCTCATCCTATTCATTCAAATTGCTTTTACCCTGTGAAGTTGAAGGTAAAAGGAGCTTTTCTTATTGAATGTTGCAGCTTAAGGCATCTCACAATGCCAAGTCCCTAAGATTTGGATCTAAGAACATCTTAAAAGACCTGGAGGGTTACAAGACCTAAAAAGTCAAACGATAGACGGAAAATAAGTTTGAACCTGTGTTCAATCATAGAATCTGTTCAGAAGTGAATACAGTTTAGGGGCAGATCCTCCATTTTAAATAAGGTCCATAATGACATCAACCCAATAACCATAAGACAGCACGTGTATGAGTAAAACTTAAAGGCTTGCAATGCCACCTTTGGCCACTAAGGTAGATCTGTACCCGCCCATTTTTTGCTTTTACTGAACATCGAAAATAATAATAAAGATATATGAACGTATACCAGGAGCAAAGTGTTAACTTACCAGTCTAATAAAAAAGTTGAGAAAAGAGAATCGG